AAGGCGCACTGTCGGCTTTTGAGGAAATTGAAGGTTTTTAGGTGCGTCTTATAGTGCGGAAAATACGGTAATGCTCCTGGGTCATTGGTGCAACATTAGTGCTAGAGCATTTGTTCACTATGGCGTCTTCCTACGCCACAGAATCTGATAGTGTGAGAGGCGTAAAAGTGTTTTAGCTCCATGTTAGCACTGGATTCAGTTTGGTGGGAATAAACCACACGGTGGCGTTTGACAAAAGGAAAATTAAGTAAAGGTTGAGACTGTGGGCTCGTCAGGTTAATTATATATAGATAAATGGGCTGGATGATTAAAAAATGCAAAACGCAGATCTGATGTCTAGCTTTCTCTGGAATGACCTTTAAAGTCGTTCCTGCATTTTAAATAGTGTCTCAGTTTTGCACCAGTAGATGTACAACTGTAATCAGAATAAATTATATTTTTGTCATGACAAAATAAATTAAACTGCACTGAATATATTATTTCAGAAAATTTCTTCACTCTTTTCCAGATTTCGCCAGTTTGCAGATCTAAATTTGTCAATCTGTGTAAAGTTTGCTCACTGAGTATAAATTCAACCAACTACATTACATCTGCCTCCAAAATTCAAATTATTTATTGAACTACCCCTCCAATCTGCAGCAAACATTCACAGTTGCATTAATAATTTTTGAGAGGAAATGATCATCACAATTGGATGGAAGGAAGATAAACACAGATAATTGTCAGCAACTGTATTCAAGTATTTTACACAATAAATATTGTCTGATGTTTGCATTCCTTAAACAGTGGCGCTCACCGTATCCCACAGTCGGGAGGCCCAGATGCTTCATCCGGTTCTTGACCAGCTCCGACAGCTCCTGCCTCTCAGAGCGCCGGTACAGGTTGAGTCTCTGCTGCGAAATGCGCTCCGCTCTGCTCGCCGGTTTGACGTTCTTCCTGCTCAGCCGCCGAGCCCACTGCATGCTCTTCTTCCTCAGCAGCGGATGCTCTGATTGGTCACTCGTGGTGGAGTTTCTGTGGGCTGTTTTCTCTTTCCAGGACCCGGCGCGGCCCTGATGTTCCTCCCCATGCTCGGCATTGATGGACACTTGAGACTACAACAGCAAGGGGAAGAGGAAATAGCTTTCTATGAAACTTTGAGAGCAACAAACATTTGTCTCTGATGCACACCTTTTTCTCTGTCTTACTTCTGCTAATCAGGTAGATTATCAAAACAGAGACTCACCTGCACATTACTGTCCTTCCTCTGAAAGAGAAGGCCAAGGAGACATCCAGACAAAAAAAGATGCAATGAAAGATGAAGCATTCAAAGCAAAGGAAATCATTGAAGCTTAAAAATCGGCTTGTTAAATAGTAAATATTGCATATTTACTATTTCAAAATTCACTTACACAGTAGGAAATTAACCATAGAAATGTTCATATTCATTTAATTCAAGTTAGCAATTAAATTGGCTGCTGGTCGTTTCACTACTTCACTCATTCATATTTCAATTGTTTTGGTCATTTTGTACCCAAATGTTTCAGGGAACGCTAACGCACCAGGGGTGAATTCATACACACTTTGGCAACAAAAATGATTTAAAGTAATTTTCTAAACTGTATATATAGGTTAATGTAAAGAGATATGACTTATGACTGAGAAAAAAAACTCTACTTGTAGTTAATTTGGTTTGATTTTAAGGTCATAATCTGTCATACTTTATAAAAGGCTATAAAGTTTATATGAAATGTTACACAATCAAATGAAATTACACAATTAATTTCAACAATGTTTTTAAATACTTAAGCATGAAAAGAAAAACATATTTGCAATTATTTACTTATGGGAACAAAATAACAGCAGGGAAGGACAATATGTGAAATTGTAGTTACCAAATGAAAACTATTTTACATCCTTAATACGATATATACTTGAAAAACAAATTTGAAGGGGAAAATTTTAAAAGTTATATAGGATGTGTAAAACTAAAGGTGGAAAAATACTGAAATTAAATCTGTCCATTACTTTTATGTCTTGTGGAATTGCAGCAGGGGTGTACGAACTTTTAATATCTGAATTGGTAAAAGGATAAAATGACCTGAAACCAATTTATTTGTTTGAAATTAAATGAAATAATTCATCACTGTCAAATGAAGCACAAAATAAATAGAGTTAACCAGGCAAAAACTTAATTTCTCTCTTCTGTTTTGTATTAGCTGCTGTCAGCCTGCAACGTTGGTCTAATACAACAAGTAATGAAGCAAACAAGGTAAGAAAATCCACTTAAAGTGGAGCAAAGCAAAAGTAACAAGAAACATAAGGCAAATAGAAAGAATCAGTAAAAAAGAATAAAGATAACCCAAAGTTATGACTCCTTCTATTTAAATAAAACTCTGTGATTTAAAAATAAGATGGAAAATAAAGCCAGATTTCATGGGTCGGTCCGGATGTGAAATGAGGCGATTTATCAAACTTCGCTTGCCTCCGACGTAGAGAACATGTGCGACTCAGTGCGGTAGATCCCAATGGGAATTTCAGCACTGGAAGAACAAAATTTCTGGAAGAGTCGGCCGTAAGTCCTGATCCACAAATCTTCCTCCGTGATTTTCATCTGAGGACGGAGAAAAAAAGCGATCGGGTTGATTCATATCGCTCACGTTTGATCTACTGAAACTCTCATGTTTTGTTACGTACAACACACAGGTAGCCAGATCCGGGCGTGGTGTCCAGTCCGAGCAGAAGCCGTGTAATAGCGATCATGTAATCCTTAACAAACGACTGTCAAAAGACAAGGAAAAAAAACGCTGTGTGATAATTTACCTGAGGTGGAACAGCAAGAGAAATTAGGCTCTGCAACAGATCTGTACAAGTCTATTATCATTTTACTCTTTTCTGTAAAGTACTAAAGGTCAACTCTGCAGCTCTGCTTCCCCACCTGATACAGCAGCGTGTCGAGCATGCTGATGCTGAACACCCTGCCGGCAGCGAACGGCAGCCGGAACATGAAGGCCAGGTTGGAGCCCTTATCGCGCTCAATCTGAAAAATGAGGGAAGAAAATGTCCAAGTATAAACAAAAACATTTGAATCTGCTTACTCAGCAGTTGTTCTTTTATTTTGCACCAGCATGCTCTGCACAAACACAAAAAATTACCAAGTACTTTTGTGAAGTTTCTACTGCAAATATCTTAGAACTAAATTATAAGTAACTTTTCAGCAAGATTTAAGTTGGTTTTAAGTCAATAATATTCATAAAAATCTACTAGTTTTTTAAAATTATAACATGGGAAAATGTCTTGTTATATTGTCACCTTCTTAAAATAATAATGTTTAATGATAGTCACTATTTTGAAGATGCTTTAGGCAAAGACGTTGGGCAAAAAAATTAGAAAGGTGATATGAGAACAAAAATCTGCCAGTGGAACTTTTTTAAAAATCAACCAACCAACTCCTCAATCTTTGTGAAAAGTTACTTATGAGTTAGTACACTTGGAATAAGACAAAACTAAGCCATTTGCGGTATAAACTAGACAAAAATACTTTGTAGGATTTTGTGTGTTTGTAGTGTTGAAGGGAAAAATGTTTTGACTCAACTTTAGACTTAAATTGTTAGGTTTAATAAGTTCAAATACTTTTTAAGTTTTATGTGAAATATTTGAAAAACATTAACAAAATGAATAAGGATTCTTTACATAAAGGAAAAAAACCTGAATATAACTATTTGGTGATGCAGGGTAAGAAATTATCGGATGGACAAATATTTTTTCTATGGAATACACTACAGGCCAAAAGTTTGCAAGCAGTTTCGGAAGCAACTCTAAGCTTCTCTTCACAATTACCTTTTTTCTTTAAAAAAGGTGGGATGTACTTACTGTATATTCAGACTTTTCGTTCATTGATATACATGGAAAAAAACCAAGTCCATGCAAAAACAACTGGAAAATAAACAAAACACCGATTCTATTAGTAACTCTTTTTAGAGCAATTTATTTTGGTCCAAGTAAATCAGTGAAACATCTGTGGAAAATGAATCTAGCTTCCAAACTTTTGGCCTGTTGTGTACATCTAGTCCAAAGTTTCTTTGCTTAGTTGTGTCTCGTTTAAAAGTATAGCCACTGAGGGGCCAACTGGTGTCGTCATCTCAGTGTTTTACAGAAACGACTCCACAGAAAATGTTTTCTTACCCACAGTTTCCGTAGTCAATGTCTCTGTTCAGCTGTGTCTCCTTCCTGCGGCTTGTTTTTCAGTGACTTATCAAGTGAATAAACTTATTCACATGTGATTTAAACCTAGTTTCTTATTTACTAGAAACACAACGATTACAAAACTGTGTTGTTTGAGATTAGCAGAATATCGACAAAGTTTTGCACACAGATTCCTGTTAAAGAGGAGTGGTTCCTCTCTACTGTCGCCATGTTCTTGGTCAGGATGAAGGATTATTGGACAGATAATTTTGACTCAACAGCTCAGCTTTCTCAATTAGACTTATTTTAGTATATAATTAGATCCAACTCAATTTAAATGTGTGGATTGTTCTGGAATCAACTGAAGTGATTTGAACTGGATTTGGACAAAAAGATTATTTTTAGTCGGATGTAAATTGAACTTGTTTCATTTTTAAAATGGAATGGAATGGAACAAGAAGTTTGAAATAAACTCAATTGAACTGAGTTGCAAGAATGTATAATAACTAATTTTCAGATGGTCTACATAACTCACCAAAGCATCACCAGGTGAATTTGTTTTATCTTTGTGCAGTGTAAGGTTTATGTTAAAATTTATTAGTTTTGTTTACTCCAGTCTGGTGTTATTCATCTATCATCAGACTGCTTTTATAGAACAACTTTTGGTCAAAAACAGATATTACTGGCTGATGGGAAAATACTTAAACTATTACGTTTTCTGACAGGCAAACTAGTCAAGACATAAGGGTACGTACGGTCTACCAAAGTAAAAAAACAAAAATAAATAAATAATAATAATAGTGCCATAATGTTATATATTTGCTCACCAAGTAGCTGCAAAATAGGTTTTTGTCTCTGTCAAACAGAAAAAAACAATGTTCTAAGGTAAAGATCTGTCTAGAAACACCAACCTTCTCCAGTTTGGACAGAGCGAGGGAGTAGCAGTCCTTCGCTCTGAACTGCATGAACCTCATGTTGGACGGATGTGTGAGCTCCGTGATGATGCTGAGGCTGGGGAACAATCTGAGTGAGGAAGAGGAAAGATGAAGGGCTCTTTTTTCAGGGAAACAAAAGCTTTGTACTCAGAAGAAGCCCATTCAGAACAACCATAGGTGTTTTTAATTCTTTCACAGCTAAGTGTTAGTTTAAAACAAACTCATTTTGTTATCTGAAGTAGTGAAAAGAGACAGGATCCATTAAGTGAATCCGGTTTTCACTAGAGCTGAAGCATTAGGCTTCAGAGTTCATATTTGTAAACAGTGAGCCTCTCCATTTGTTACCTGAACATTGTCTGGACATTGACAATAGTCTTGGCGTCTGCCATGTAGTCTTCCTCAGCGCTCATGGTGCTCTCCTTGTCCACAACCACCAAGTTATCAGCATAGATTATTCCACACTGGAGCAGGTTGTCCAAACTGATGCGTTTGAGAAACAAGCATTTAGGGACTCTGGTATTACTGCTTTTCTGCTTCAAATAATCATCATGTCACACTTCAGATCACTTACTTATCAATAGTTCCAGCCATGAAGTAAACCATTGGAAAGCAGCAAATGGCCTCTAAGAAGTGGTTGTCTGGTCTGCAGGAAACAGAAATTATGGAACAAAACCTCACTGACAGATTATGAAACAATTTGAATGTTTTCCTGAAATTTGCGTGCTGATGAGGAATGGGAATATTTGCTAGAATTTCCCTCGAAAAGGAAGTGGAATCAATATTTAATTGAGCAAAGCAGTGGGAGGACTCGCTAAAAAATGAGCTGCTAATGGAAATTCAACGAGAGCCAGACATTTCCTGGCTCCACATTTGTGTGATTTTCTTTTTCGCTTTGTGGCAAAAGTGATTGAAAATTTAAACAGAAAAATAACTAATCAAAAAAAAAAATGAATGGATGTTTGCATAAACAAACTCAGGGATGTACAGATGCTTTCGAAGCTTGTTTTGAAATGACTGCAAATTAAAAAGCCATTAGGTGTAGTCATTAGTTCCTAATGTAATTACAGCATTTCCACTGGTTCTGCATCTTTGTACGAGTAAAAACAGTCACACATGAGGCTGGAACAGAAGTTGAGGAGTCTTACGGATAGTCCAGTAGCAGCACTATTGGGTTGAGCTCCTTTCTGGGCCGATAATAAGCTCGCAGGGGAACTATGAAGTTATAGAGCCCATTTCCTGCCGTCTCTGCAGACACTATAATCAGCTTATTCTTGAAGCCGTAGGCCTTGGCATCCTCAAAGCTGTTATGTGTGCAGCCCTGGGTGGAGACAGAGTTCAGCAGGAAGTCGTCAGGCTTTTAGCAGAGAAATCACCTTACTTATTGTCTCTGTAATGAGTACGAGGAAGAAAGAGAGAGAAAAGATGTAGGGAAATGTTACACAGCCATTTCATCTTCACCTTATCGAGGCGAAGGCAGCAGAACGGAGCTTTCTGTGGCAGCAGGTGGCACAGAGTTGGAGAGCTGCCGATATAGGGGGAGTTTGGAGGGTAGCCCTTCACAAAGCTAACGGACAGGAAACAGAAATTTAGAGGTGATTGAAACCTGTGCTAAAACACAAGGTAAATACAAAGCCTTGTAAAGTATCTTTATCAATCTATGGCATATTTTATGAAATAAACAACATGTGACAGAAATAGGACTTAGTTGTTAAGGGACAAGAAAAAGCCTTCTTCCTTAAGAATTGTTGTCCTGCTGGAAAGTTAGTGTTTACCACAGTCTTACATTTTTTGATGGTTTTTGTGGCACTAGGACAGAAAGTGGGCAGAGAGAAGGGAGGAAGGCATGAAGTAAAGATGTGGGCTATCTGAGATGACACAGGATTTATTAAAGGAGATCAGAGTAAATTAGGCTGAAAACAAAATTAACCTTCATATTTTTATTTGTAAAAATAATTTGAAACCCTTGTATCCCGATAAATTACATTGAGGTTTGTGGTTGAAATGTGACAAAAAATTGTTCCAGTTTGAGAGTTATAAATATGTCCTCTTGCTATTCAACTTGTGCAAAGAATATTTTGGTTTGTTTTGACATCCGGTATCTGGTTTCAAAATAAAATAAATCTATTACCATAAATAACTGTTTTCAGAAGAAAGTTTCAGGTTCCCAGCCTTTTATCAGATTCTGCTGCAGCTTAAATCCATTCACTGATGACTTACAGCCTTAAATGCATGTTAAAGTAAAACAACTTGACTTGTTTTGATTTGCATTTAAGTGGCAGCTTGATTCATTTCATTTAATTTGTGATGCATTACCCCAGTCAGTTTTATCTCTTTAAATTTCCAGTTTGACTTTCCAGCATTAATATAGATGCAGTTGCCACTTAATCGCCACATGATGGCACTGTGGGACCTTGAGTTTCACGCTGCACTTTTTTCTTAACTTGTTTCAACACCAGCTCTGCGCCTCTGCAGTGACAGAGGCTCAGAAGACCATGTTATGTTATGAGCAAGTTTAAGAGACCTGTTTATGTTGGAGTCAGTCTAACAGTTGCTGTTTGGGATTAGTGACTGACTCCTCACTGCATCCGAGCCCCTATCTATCACATTTCTGTCATCAGAAAGATTACTGAAGATTTCCTTGAGTTGCTGTGATGTCGACTGCATTAGGGACATTGGCAGGAAGGATCCGTGTAGCATCAGCATCACTAGAAGAAAAAATCTGACCTTCCTGTCACGATATTAGTCACTGCGTTTTCCAGCATCGTGACACACTGATTATACGCCTGCTGAAACCTCATCCATCTCCCGTTCGACAGCCAATGAGGGATGACGGCGAGGAAGAAAGGTGAGATCAATCAATTTCAAATCGCAGAACGCAGCTGCCTCACTAAACACCCCAAATTCCAGAAATCTCCGCTGTTTCTTCATGCACTGAAACACATCCGCGCTACTCACTCCGACCCCACGGATCCCTCGTCATCTGATTGGTTGGTCTCGTCCTCCGATTGGTCACTGAGGAGGTCGCAGGGCAAGATGGTGGAGGAGTCAGCAATTTCCAAGACGGGTGCGATGCTTGGCCTTCGACTTCCTGCTCCGTTCTCGGTGGGAAGGGTCAGTTTCCCACTTTCCTCCGGAGGATCGGGATGCTGGAGATCTATCGCTACAGTCCCTACAAATTACACGGGCGGCGTCAACTAATTTAGATTATTTCATAAGCGAAGCAGAAATCAAATGACGCACAGCAGTTCTACAGCTCTTTGCATATAAAAACTGATCTCCATTTGTACATTTCTGACACTCAGCATTTTTTATTTGTTTACTCAGCAAAACGTCCTGTTTTGTCTTGAGGAGAAAATGTATTGCTTTTCAGAAAAATGCTTTGTGTACACAGAGTAGCATGCAAACTGCAGTCACAGAAGTTTATCTATAAATACAGAAAATACTTTATTGACATACATCATATAACTGCTCATAATATGATGCATGAAAACTCCATAATGCATCTGTTGAGTTCATGGCTGAAATGATTATTGGATTGATCGATTATTGAAATAATTGTCAACTATTATTTAGAAATCAATTAATTAGTCAATTAGAACCAAAAAAGGCCATTCTGAGAGAAGTAATCAAGTCAAAACTGAACAAAAAATATGTATTTACATTAAATTGCATTAAATACACACCTTTTTCTATCCAGTTATTAACCGGTTAATTGAAAAAATAATCAACAGATTAGTCCTATATTGGGTTGATAAGTCAAGCAAAAACATCAAGTTGATGTTAAAAGGATTTATTTATCTGCAGATGCATCCTTTGCTGCAAATGATCAAGAATAAGGAATGCTATGTTGTTGCACTTTAGGTAATAAAATGTTTCTTATTAAAAAAAAAAGGAATAATTGTTTATTTCTTTGCATCTCTCAAAGTACTTCTAACATTGAACAAAAGACTCAAGTGGTAAAATAAAACAATGTACAGAATGTTCCTTTTTTAAATCCAATTAATTAATCGGTAGAATAATTGTTTACTAAAATTATCGTTAGTTGCAGCACAAATTGAGTGTATGTGCTGTACATTAACATTTGTACAGCGCATGCAGATTAAGTAAAGTGTCCCTGAAACAGTAAAGAAATACATAATAACATTATGGTGTAAAAAGAAACAAGGATGCATCATGCATGAACTTACCAAATGAGGTGGTCTGATCAACTTTCACAGGTCAAAAAAACAAAAACAGGCACATAACAATAAAGTCAGCCGATAAAGTAAAGGAAAGCAGGTCAGTAAAGAAATCATGCAAAAGCATCAACAAGGCAGCCACCATTCAGAAATGTACAAAATGCAGTTTTGACTAAAATAAAGCATCTATTTTCTCTTTCACGCCAACCTACAAAACCTCCCACTGATTATTACATGTCATTTCTGTCTGGTTTTCAGTCTTACCCATGCTGGCTATGATGCTGTGCACAGGCAGCCTGGAGGGGGCGTCGTAGAGCCCGGTGACGGGGAGACCCTTCCCATGTTTTTCCTCCTGTTTGAAGATGAAGGCTGAGTTCTCCTCCTTGGTGATGTTGATGTAGTAGCAGGTGTCGGTAGCAGCCATGATGTGACGCGGTCCAGGATTCAGGAGGATGCTCTTGTTGTCCTCCCTCTTCACCCCGATCAAACACACACCATACCTGCAGGGAAATTCAAACTCAGATTTAAGTTATTCTGTGTCACAGATTAATCCAACATTTGGAAACAGAGAATTCACTGACTTCTTATGGGCATGAAAGGAGGCGTAGGTGAAGCTCTTTCCATCATACTCCCCAAAAAACTTGCTGTCCGCTAAATGGATGTGGTACACCTCGTTCCCAGAGCAGCGGCCATAAGTCCTCTGCCACGGCTCCGGGGACGTCTGCCCCTCTCTGGGGAAAGAGCACTTTATTATTTACTGTTTTATATATAGCAACAATTCATACCCTCCTTTTGTAGATGATTACAGACGCAGTCTGCACTCTATAAGGTCAATAACGTCACATTGTTCTTGGTTTTCTTTCAGGATTATTACAAAAATAAAATTTTTTGTTTTAATCAGATTCAATTTGGGATTCTGGCAGATTGGATAAAGTAAAATATGAAAACTTAATCTGCTGGGCTTAACATTATGCATTGAGGTTTCAATACTCTTGTTCTGTTTTCCTTCATTACGTTCAACTTTTTTGTAGCAGGGATCAAATTGTGACTTCTTTTAGTGATTACTAACATAGTAGAACAGTTGCATAGTTACTAATTCATTAAAATTGTTTTATTAAAAGAATATTTTTAATAGTGAGCCTTAAAAAACAAACAAAATAATGTTTTTTGATTGTCAATTAATCGTTTCAGTCTCGTTGCTGCAGGGAGTGAAAGTAGAGCAGGGATATTTCAACCACCAAAGAGCACCGACTGTTAAAAATAGTTTTACTTTGGACTTTACAGCTGTGACAGAAAAGCTTTTTCAAGATGTTTTGTCTTCAATAAGTGCAGAGGGAAAGACAAGTCCAGCAATGACCAGAACCCTGCTGGCAGATGAAGAGCATGTCAACATTTATCTGGATGTTTATGTTCTGCAGACTGGAATCCTGCATTTAATTTACTGAACTGCCAGCATCGGATCATTCGGTCTGATTATGCCTCAATTTATGGGATCCTTCACAACAAGAGTCTTCAAATGGCATCAAACTAATTAAAACCACGACTGTAAAATATGTTGGTGCTGTATGTATACGTCAGAGCAAGCAGAGAAAATACAACATATAATTCAACTTGTGCACATAAGTTTTACTAACCGAAAATTTGACAATGTGTGAATAGTTCAAATAAATTATTAGCAGCCCAGATTTGATAGATTTATGCTTAAACCACATAATAGAACCATATCTTTGAGCTCTTATTTAAATTTGGTAGGAAAATATTTACAATTTAAAAAAATGGAATCCCTTCCTGCTCGGTCCTGCTCCTCCTCCTCAGGTGTAGCCACAACAACAAACACATGAAAGTAAGCTGGACACATATGCTCTAACTTTCAATTGTGTTGACGGCGTTTAAATTAACACCTGCGGCGGAGATACTGACTTTGAGTTTTTGTCACCTTCACAGGCAGAAGCCAGTGTGAGTTTCCATAATAAACACAGATGTGCCGTGCTTTTAATTTGGCGAGAGAAGCTGATCAAATAGACGGGCAGATTTACAGGCTAAAAGAAGAAGCAGGTGATGCTCAGTGACACGGTTTCTGCTGTGCTGGCAGCGCATCAGTCAGTCTGGAGTCTGTGCAGCTGAAAAGACGCTTCCACAGAATTTATTTTTGATTAAACTGTCAAGTAAAGTTAAATCAAGTGAATAATGACTAGAATGTAAGTACAAGAAAAGAACGTGGCCAGCATGAAGTCTCTCATTTGTTTTTCAAGCTCGGCGTTTGATTGCTACTGATTGTTTGGACTCGGTAGTAGTCCCAGCTGCAAAACCTTGAAAGACGAAGGGAGAAACATTACGCACAGGCCAAACACCAAATTATTACAAGAACCGGCTTAAAAACTGGCAGCAAGTGGATGCTTACATAAATATAGCTAATTATATTGTTGCAAATAAAATTTCTTCAGGATTACAGAATAACTAAAATTTGGTTTAAAAAAATTTCTGTTATTCTGCTTTTCTGCTATTACTGCCACCGTTCTTCCTGCCACACAGGAGCTTTAAGCATTGATGCCACGTGAGATCCAACAAAACTGGCAAAACCAACGATAGCACCAAATCTCTGAGTGTTTAAACAAAACGACATTTTAGTTCGCTGCAGCAGTCTTTCTTTGCCTACTTAAACATGATAGAATCATAAATACAAATAACAATATTCAAAGTGAAACATGGAATATTTCTGTAAGAAATGCTCTCCTTTGAGGAGTTAGCCATGTTCAATAAACAAACATTCAGGGAAAACATCTACAGGATAGCTCCTCTGTAGATCAGTAAATCAAGATGCTACATGTTTGTTTTCTTTGTTTAACCTACAGATTACAAATAGGTATTTAAATGAGTAATTTATGTCGAGTAAAAGAAGATTTTATTAGCTAGGTGCCAATGTTTCGAACTTGTTTTTAAATTTCTGAATTGAAGTTGAATAATTCTAAAGTAACTCTACTAAAATAAGGTGAACGTTGTTTAAAATTTCACAGTAACAGTAGTGTTTACTCACTGTCCTCTGGAGGTGTGAACCAGCAGAGTCACTAAGGTGGACGTGGCTGGACACACGCAGTTCAGAGCCAACATGGCGTACTTGAACTCCTCTTCACATACAACATGATCTGTTGAAAAGAAATCATTTACAATCATTTCTAGGTCTGAAAAGTATATACATATATATATAGTATTCATGAAGATATGTATATGTTTTCAATTTACCTGCAAATTTTACGTGAAACTTATTTTCCGGTTTGAGGATTTGGACGTAGAGAGGACAGTTTGGAGCGAAGTCCTTTGCAGCCCAAGCCCTCAAAATAGTCTGGTGATCCTGCAGCAGGAGAAAGATCAGTTTTATTTACCAACACAACAATTTCCAAGAATTTTACAGAGTCTCAACTTTCTCTTTGTTAATTCAGGATCTAATATCGTAAAATGACTTGGAAGTATAATATGAAGGGAAATTACCCCTTTACGCTGTTTTACATTTACACCTCGTTACTTTACTTACAGCAGCAGTTCGGTCGACCTCATTCCTGCTGCTCAGGATGAAGCACGCCTCAGCGTCGTCCATCCTAAATGAATCAGAGACAACAAGGCAGGGATTCAGCTGATCACACAATTTAACAATTAGATAAATTCATCCTCAGTTTGGAAATGCTCAAATGCTCCCACACAAAAAAAAGAAAAGAAAATAATCTGCAAGATGATATTAAATGATGCAAAATTGATGGAATAACTTGAAGTTAAGATTATTCTTTTTAATTTGCAGAACATTTGTGTTTTAATTTTGTATATTTTAAGGCATTTTGTGACAAAACATTTCCTTTTGTAATGTTTGAAAAATGTCAAAATTGTTGATTTGAATCTTCAACAATTTTTTGTTTTTTAATTTAAAATGAGAAAAGATGGCGAGACAACGTAAAGAAATGCAGCAAATCATCCAGCACTGTTAATCAAACCAAACCATTACCAGTCTGTAATGTAGCTGGTAGAGGCTACATTACAGACTGCAGCCTCTTCCAGCAGAACTACACTGTGCTCTGTGAAGCACTTCAGCGCCAATAAATTATGACTCAGTTGTAAAAACGATGTTAAACAATATCTGGCTGTAAGATTACGCAGCAAAGGATTTACTGATACAGATAAAAATTGTAGGTGATAAAAAAAATCTGGGAAACTTATTTTTTAATGTCTGTAGCCTTTGTTCAGCGCAGATGATACATGTAGGATAAAATCCTGTTACATTGATGTGCAAGCAGAGGGCAGCCAATGTAGCTAGCGCACCGTGTAACTGCTGCCTACTGGCTTTGTGCTGCCACCTAACCACTGTGATTTTACAACCAGCTGAGACTTTTAAAATGTTTAGATTGTCCTGTAAACGTGTGCAGGCTAAAACTCACTTGGCCCTCATCAGGTCCTGGTCTTTGAGGGCCGATCCTTGCAGGTAAATGACCCTCTGAGACCACAGGGGGATCTGCAGGATGCGGCGAACCTGAATGTCTATTTCTGTCGGGCACAGGATCACCACGTAGTAGTCCTGTGAAGCAAAACAGACAGCTTTTTTTTCATTTTAGGGATTCCATCGCTTCCTTTAAAATCATCAAACTTTATGTGAGACTAGGACTGGGCAATAAAGCAATAAAAGTATATATGGTGAAAAACATATGATTCCTGTTGATATTCAAGAACTTCACTGAACTTCGATCGAGATCCAAACAGCATTCTGGGAGAGGAAAGACTTTATCTGCTCAACCTCTCACAGCAAAGCAAGTTTGGTGGTATCAACCAACTCCCTCACTCTTTGGTTACCTAGCAACAACCTGCTGAGCAACTTGTGGTTACCTAGCAACGGTCTGTTGAGTAACTTGCACAGTTTCATAACCAAGGCTAAAATCTAGCCTAAAATGTGACGCAGAGTTTGCACAACCCATTTAAAATGAACAAATCTGTTCTGTGGAAAATGTAAGACAGGAAATGTTATAACGTGTCTTACAGTTTAGTGTGAACACCACTAAACTGCTACTTTGTTCAGGCACTTTTTGATTAAGTTTTTCCCTCCTGCTAACAGGAAGAGTATCATGTAATAAAGTTTGGATGCTCCAGCAGGATTTTCTCAACATTTGCATCCATAGACTGAAGCAACAAGAATATAAATGATCCCATTGTGCAAAAGTTTACAATAGCAAACAGACAAAATGGAAACTTGTGACTGACAATGCTAAAGGTGTGGTTTGAATTCAGTAGGAAATATTTGTAGTCAATTAAGAATAAGCTGGTGAGCTAGTTGGTTCAAACTCTGGTTTTCCCTGTTTTACATGGCCATGTTTTTGGGTGTTACACAGAAAAGAAAAGCTCTCGAAAAGCGCTGGCCTCTGTACCTGCAGCCTAGGATGAGCGTAAAACTCATTAAGAAAATCCATCAGCAGGTCGATCTTGAGCGAGCTGACACACAACACAACATGTTTCTCCGTCTGCGCCCGGTGACGGCTGTAGTTCCCTCCGAGCTTCTGGCTCTCCATCCACAAGTACGCCAGCTCCTCAAACTGAAACAGTGGAACAGAAGCAATGGTTAAAAAGGGTTAAAATGTGCTGCCTAGTATATAGGCAGCACATTTAAAAGAAAAAAAACCCACGATTAGTTTTACATGAACATCTCATTAGAAAATGTGAAGCAGTCGAGTTTTCCAGTTGACAGAATTGCCGGTTAATGCAGCGAGGATCTAATTAGGCCGACATTTTGACTGAGATGCAAAAACTCCTCCTGTAGCCTAAAGTCTGAGAATGTAAGGCCCTCATTAGTTTTTGATTTGTTGTCAGGCCACATCAGCTGCAAAAAAACTGCACATTAAAATTTGATAACAGACTCATAAGAAGCACATCTCTGCTTGCAGAAAGTCAAAGAATTTCAAATTCTAGGAGACGGTTCATATGAAGTCTGTTTCATGTGGTCCATACCTGTAGCGGAAGGACTACCAGAGCAACACAGATGAGAATAACCACCAGCAGCTGTGAGGGCCAGATCTGTGGAGTAACGTCGCCGTAGCCCACAGTGGAGAAGGTGACGATGCAGAAATAAAAGGAGTCAAACAAGGACAGGTTTTTCCCGGCTCGCTCAAGATGCTGAATCCCACAGGCTCTGCAGAAAGATAGGATGAATTATTTACATGCAACCAATGTCCTTCAGGTAAGGATGGCTGAAATGAAAACACGTTAAGGCATGGCTATTTATGGAATACCAAGGTTTTAAAAAAAGTTGGAGTTTTAAGACAACCAGAGGTTTCTCTGGTTTTTGTGCTGCCCTTCCCCAACCTGTTTCTCTGGGCTACCAGTTAGCTAGCTGAATCATGTTTGAACCCTTGGCTAAAAGAATGACAAATTTGACTGTTTGGAAATATTCTTGGTTGCCAAAGGAAACACAACAACAAATAAAAATGTTTACATAACATTATTATTATAAATGAATAATAAACAGTGTTACTTGATCGTCAGTAGAAAAGACTCAAATGAAAGCATGTCATATATTTTTGTTTTAAAGATGATCTATTATGCATCCTTGAACAGGCTAGAATTTATCTATTGACTATAAAAAACATTTTTATTATATGAAGAAGTTTTTTTTTTTACACAAAATCATTCTTAGATATGAAATTTTCGGTTGTTCAGTTCTGCTTATTTTGAGCGTTTTTAGAGCCTCTTGTTGCGTTAAATCCAAATAAGCTGCTGTTGGCCACGCCCCCAACTCTATGCTTTAACTCGCACTTGAAAATGGTTGCAAACAGATGTGCAATTATACAACCGTACATCTTTGAAAAGCAAAAGTAGAACCTCCCGCACACTCAGCAGGAGTTCACCAAGTGGTTTCTGATTGGTAAGTCAATAACAAAACACTTGTCTTTTCCAGCAGCCATTGTACAGCGCATACAGCAGTAAAACCAGCTGACCAAACGTGCTGGATCTCAGCACGTTTGATGATTTGTGACGTTACATTCAGAAGGTTTTTCAAACAGCTCATTTTCCAGACACCAAAAAGCATTAATTTATTGACAGAAAATGGCTGGGTGTTTTATTTTAAAGCGCTTCAGCTTTTTTTTTTAGAGGCAGTTGAGATTCAAATGGAAGTATTAAACTATGCAAAAAGTAAACTTTGTACAATAAGTCCCCTTTAAAAGTATAAATACTAAAATAGAGAGAAACTGTTCTGTTTCTACTGAAGCTCATGTCTGCATGTGATGTATGTCTCACAAAGACAAGTTGCTTCAGGACCACAATTTAGTTTTCTATTTGATCAAGACCAAAGGGCACCAAAGTCAATGCAGCTTCTGCTCAGTACCTCATTTTGAAGTGACATTGATTGTTCTTTTGGTAATCTCCTTCAGAAGCTGTGCTAATTAATTTGGTTATTTTCTTTCTCAGATAAATTGAAGATTTAATCAAACCCTGAGACACGGGAAATGAAGCTGCCTGAGTAGATGGGTGGTCGTCACGGCTCACGAACACGGCCAGAGCGCGATGGGCAAGGAGGAGCCCGCTTTGATTAAAATAAATTGGTGCTATAAAAGTCCAAATCAATAACACATAAAGAGAAGAACAGATGAGTTTCACTGGGTTAGCTGTAGATCCTGCACAACAGATACAAGGCAGGATGATTAACGTCAGGAAAATAACTGACATAAAATGTCGCTACTTGCTTGTGCAGGAAGAGTGAATGCTGCAAGTCAATGACTCAATGCAACCTACAGGGTTTTCTGAGTTAGTTTAATAATAAATTAAATATGACTGCATTGTTTGTTAACTAGCATCACAATGAAATTTCCTTTCCCCCCTTCTTCTTCTTGTAAAGTAAGGAGGCAAAACTGTTTAAAACTTGGTTGACGACAGCAGAAGTTATCTGGTTATTAATTTACATATTGCTTATTTTTTACAAAGTGTATTTTATTGTTGTGAACAACATCGAGCTGAATTTAATTTTTAGCTAAGTTTTGTTTATACCTAAACTGTTTATTTTATTTGTATATTTTCAAAGAACATTGTATTTATTGTGAGGAAAAATCTTAAAAAGGGGTGATAAACAATTAAAATTGGCAGGTCAAAGCTTTACATATTGGTCCAGAAAAATTCTCAATGCTGCATCTCTAATAAACATAGAGAATTAGAGTAATTATCTTTACTAATTAAATATCTTACCTTCAGATTTGGGCCTTAAAAATCTGTTTTTTTACTTGATTGACTACAGTTGAAGTTACCAGGTTTTTAATTTTAAGTACATATATAGCAGCTTATATTTTACTGTGGTGCATTTCAGTAAATTTATATCTTACAGAAAAACCTGAGCACATGTGGCCTCAGTGGAAATGTGCCAGCATGCCAGCAGATGTTTAAAGAGCAGATGTTCCCTCACCCTGTGAACACCAGACACAGTAAGGTGCAGATGAGGATGAACACCTGGTTGAACATTGCGGAGTGCGTCCTCTGGATGGCACGATGGAAGTCATTCTGGGGGAAGAAGAAAAGTTTATCGTCTCCATATTTCCTCCTGTGAATACTCTGTATGTCATCAGCTCAGAAATGAAATGCAGCTTCTCTATTGCCTTACAAAGTAAAACATGCGCAGCGACTGGACAGAATTTGATGCGAACCTTACAGGAAACTCTGGTTTATATTTATACTCTCACATATTGGAATGTTGTTTAGAATAGATGATAACTGGGTCATTTCCTAAAAAAGCACAATACTAAACTAAACTGTACCCCACAAATCCACAACATTTTTGCTATATTACGGTTCTTTATGTGCACAAATCTGCTCATGTTTAACATGCTATTTATTATATGCAAACTATACTGGTGTCTCTACATTAGCATGCTGTCCATCTTCATATGAAGCAGCTAATGAGTGGTTCTCAGTTGCACCTTGTTAGCATGTCCAGCCTGCCACCTCCTCCCTGCTGGCCCCAGGTTTTACCATCTGCTGACTGCAGCCTTGGCATGATGCGCTCATCCTGTCATGACCTCGTCTGAATCTCAGTGATAGAGTAGATCATGTAAGATGTGATCTGACTCCTTTAAAAGTCTTCCGGCAGATACAAGTCTGTGCATTTGTTCCTTTCTTGTTGCATACATTTACTGGAATTTATGCATAATACTACCAGGAAAAACTAATGACTTCTCTGCTGCAGAAACCAACTTCTAGCTGGTCGTGACTGCATTTTTTCTTGAAGCAAATCAGCCAACTGAAGCTGAAGAAGTCACTGGTTTTAGCTTTAAAGGCCAACTAATTACACAGCACACTTGTATATCAAAGAACCCAGAGTTGCTGATAACAGTGTTACATGGATGGCGTCAGTTTTACTGCCTTCAAAAAGATGCACTGCCTTGTGGACAGATTAGATGTATTTACAACACGAGAGACGACAACTAACCCGAAAGGAAGGAACCGGCTCATCCGATTAAATTCTGTTCACTGGTAAAATCAACAGCTTCCACATCTAACATTAATCAGCTTTAATAAAGCTGCTAGGAGGGTAATGATCCATCAAAATCTACAAAAGTACAAACTGCATGAACTTAAGATTCTGTAACTCATGTATTTTCTGCGAGCAACACATTTCAAGTCAATGAACAAGATAAACCATGAAAGGTTGAATCTTTGAATACAATTATGAAAACAATGTTTACTGAAAATAAAGGAATTGAAGGAATTGAGATGTTTATTATTCTACACTGCATGAAACTACAGATTGAAATATGAAACTGGCATAGCTAAAATGTATTTTGGGAAACTGTAATAACTGAAATAATTACTTTATATAAAGTATATAAGACCAGTGTAAAATATCCTTAATATTGAAAATATCTCTAAAAGTGTGTTAAAAGTAAAAGTAAATAGCTCCACTTATCACTTTGTAGCTTCAACACCAGAATGTCCTAAAAGTTTAATGTCAAGAGTTAAAATGGGGAAACAAAACTGGAACTATTTTTTTTTATATTGTTCAGGTTGTCTGCAAATATTTTTTTTTGTTCATCTTTATGTTAATACCTTTATAAAACGTAATGTTTTCAGCTGACAGCTACAGAATCTTGTAATGGAAAAAAAGACTTACGATCATGTTCTCCAGAGCACCTTTGGCAAGCCAGCAGTTAAGAAACACGGGGACGAATATGTTTCTCAACGGAGCCCAGAAGATCTTAAATAAGTAAAAAGTAGATAAGAAAAGGATTAAAACTTTACTTAAGCGCTAGAGAAGTAGTAAAAGCATGTACTGGACAATTACTTTTAAAATAATTTCTGATTCTCTCTCTTTTTTTTGCAAATAAACAGTAAAACAATGTGCAGTAAAGGCTCTAACATCATGCTGCTAACAGTAGAATACCTCTCAGTTTGGACATTTCAACACACACACTGTTTTGCAGAATAAATAAATTGAAGTAAATGTAGATGAATTACTCACTGTGATTATAAATGGTACCGTATTAATCATCTCCAATATGAAGGATATCTGGAAGATCTGCTCCCAAATGTTCCCCTGGAAGGGAAATGTGTGGAAAATGATTGAATATTCTGTTTAGAGAGTGGATTGTTTTCAGAAGAACAGTAATGAATAAAAAGATGAGCTTTTACTGCATGGTGTTCAACAAGAAACAGTACAACAGTCCATTCATCTATGTTATCTTTAAGTTGCTTTTTCTGCTGTTTAATTTTAGTATTTTAACAAAATGCCAAGTTATATGTAGTTAATATCACTCTGAAAAAGTAAATTCACAAACATATAAAAGCAGCTTAGGAACAGACACTGTTAATCTAACACAACAAATAATCAGTAAGATTCAACATCTGAAAACGATGAAACAACGAATGCAGCAGTGAAGGAGCAAATAAAACGTCTACAAAAATATACAAGGCTTCAATTTAACGCCAGCTAAGAGCAGCACAACATTTTGACGTCATTTAATAAAAACTAAAATGCTTCCTAATCCCCAAACCACTCACTGGGGCAAAAAGAATATGACACGGCTGAAAATAAAAGGATTAACTACGTATTGAGCACAAGTTTCACCAGATGACTGCAGGGTGAGACGTTTAAAGCAGCAGTACAACATGCTTACCATCCTCAGAGTGAAGCAGTTTTAAATGGATTACGTTGAACAGTACTTCTGCACAGTACTTATACCTTAAACCAAAAACTTCTATTGACATCATAAAGATTTACTAGTTAAGCCAACATGGATTACTGCATAATGTTCAACCGCAGAGAAAATAATACAGTTATCAACATTTCTTAAAAAAAAAAAAAAAAAATCTGAGTGTCGTGTGAATTTGCATTCAGTCTCCAACAGTCAATACTTTGCAGAAGCAGAAGCACCTTCCCCTGTTATCACCACTGTAAGTCTTATAGCATATGCATCTACAGAAGAGAGCACATCACACGAGAGATGGAGAAAACAGAGAGAGAGAAAGAAAGATGGACATTGTAGTTGTAGATGGTAATAAATTAAAACAGTTTGAAAAGAGATGAAATTCCCATCACTAATGGAAAGCATCTGCTAGCGTCATTGTTGAAGTTTGGTCCCAGACTTCACATCAGTACTTTAACAAGACCAGATATTACATGCACTTCAATCTACAAAAAGTGTACTGCTGGTCTGGCTAAATGTTTAGGGTTGTTGTGTGTCTCAAATCTGCAGCCTTGTCAAAAATTAAATGACATTAAATTAAATAAAAATGCACCAAAGCTGTTTTTACCTCATATAATGAATTGAACATTTGAAGCTTTCGGTTCACAAAACACACACACACAAAAATCCACTGAATCAAAAAGCTGCACCACAACAGAAAAGAGGAATGAGAAAAACTTGTGCAGGAAAGCAGACCCTTACCTTGTAGCTGAGATATGTGATAAGCATAGTCTCCAAGAAACTGATTAAGGCCACTGTCACCTGCAGCACAAAGGGAGAAGGAGATGAATGAACCTGGCATCTGCTGACTCATCTCCTCTGGCATCTTAGCTTTCACTGAGGAAATACAACGTGCTGCGGTTTGTCTAATAAATGACAGTCAGGTTTTAGGGTTGAATTACACGTTCAGCTCATGGAGAACAATTTGATTTATGCCCACTTTTACAAGATTGCCAACAGCATCACCTGTATTGCCCACACAGGCTGGAGTCTGTTCACCCAGAAAATTAGGTTCCTGCAAAAACAAAAACAAACAAAAACATTTCTTTCAAAGTTCTTCACAACCGAGAAGCAGCTGAACCCATAGAGGTCAATAAATGGCATTTCACATTAAACATACCATTTGATTTCACGTCCCTCAGTAGAATTCAGTGAACTGCTGTTTCGGCATGTTGTGCTGCAAAAAATACATAAAAAAAAAGGCAAAAACAGGATCAAAGTAGGTAAATAAACTCAGGAGCAGACACATTTAGGAGAAAATTCACTCACATGAATGCAGATTTATAAATATTTATAAGATAAACAGACTGTAACCAAAATAAGAGCTAAAGAACAGCTGGGAGGTAATTCTGGCACAACAGAAAACGTTGAGCTTCTCACATTAGATAATTAATATTTTATTCCACTGTGGACTGTCAGATATTTTGGAAAATAATTTTCGATGTAATTAATTGACCCGATTGTATTTTTCATAGATTAATGAATCTATATAACACTTACTGAATTAAATTACTGAAAGTAATCAGCTTCTCAGTGGTAATATTTCATTTATTTTATGATAAACTTTTTTCTCCAGCAGAAACTGATTCTTTATGGAAAAACACTGTGCTGTCTGCCAGGAGCGAACATTCACGCTTATATCTGTTTATCTGTGACTGAATTATCCAGCATGCCTGTTAGTACCAGGTTTGAACTGGATCTGTGTGTTCAGCTTAAGTTAAACCCTCAAAACAAAATGTCATCATGTCTCCAAGTCAAATAGCAGAACTGCTGTTTTGGTTTACAAATAATTTATCATAAATATGTATCAACCTCATATAACGAAATGAAAATGCATTATTGAGGTCTGTATTGCTTTCTTAAACCGAGTAAAATTAAAATGCGCAGCAGGAACTGCTGAAAGTGAAGCTCACCCATTGATACTGTAGTTTTCTGTGGGATTATCCAGGCTGACTCTCAGAATGTAGAGGGCACAGGTGAGGATCTTCAATGCAAAGTTGAACAAACGGATTCTCAGGCCTGTGGAGCAGCAAAAACAAACATCTTGTCCTGATTGACACACTGGCTTACATTTACCTTCAGCAGACTCTGCGGTAATCTCTGCTGTTCTTAGAGGAAAGTATTAGAAAGGAAAGACGATGATCCAGAAAGAATGTGCAAAGAAGATGCTTTAAATTTTGTCAAATGCGAGAGGAAAAATCCTGTCTTATTAAAAAATGTTTTGGCAGAAAGGGTTCCAACAATCTCCATTGTGAGATTATGCTGCTACACTAAAAAAATGTTTTATTCCACTTACCATGTATTCCTATAAATATGGCTCGGATTGCTTTTACAGAAGATACAATATGACAACCCCACTCCCCAAAAAAACAAAAACAAAAACAAAAAAACACTTGCTTTGATGAAATTTTGTTTTTATATCTTTGCCTGTAACTCTGAAGAAACAAATAACACCCTGGAACTCTTAAATTATTTTTCCATGACACAGATTAAAATCCCCCAACAAAAACACAAACATATTCGGGGTAAAGGGACATATAGGGTAAGAAAGATGGGTTTCAAATTTCTACAGATATTATCTAAATCCACAATGCCTTCTATGGAGTCAAGATTATCTGGTTGAATGAGCTCTGACACATAGTCCTCCAATAAATAAACACAAAACCAGCATAGCCTGGTCTGCGTAAAGCTGCAACCTGGTGCAGATGTGCATGTCATCCATGGGGTGGTGCTAGCTGCAATAAACATTTCAATCAACCTCAGCAACAGCTGCTAGATCTGTCCTGATGGATGAAGTCTGCATCAACGTCTGAACAGGTTAAAACCAAACTAAAGGTCAGCAGCCTGGAGGGGATCTGTTCTTGGGCTCTGCTGAGTTGTTATTTGTTTTAAACTTTGGTGGCTTACAGACAACTGCAAGTTTGGAAAACGTCAGCAGAGAAGAAGATATGCTAATAGTTTGTCCTGCTGGAGGCTTTTGCTGTGCACATTTTCACAACTAGATGCAAATGAATAAGTTGCAGAGACAAGACAGCAAAGTGTTGATGTGTGGTTGCTTTGGCAGATACTGAGACAGAGTCAGCGCTCTAATGAGAGAAACACTGCAGCTCAGATTCCTCTCAGTAAATGGACCATAATCTGTGTATCAGGCCACAAATAGCACAGTCAAGACAACAAATATACAAGGTAGCAAATTTAATACTAATACCCTAACCGAAACAGTAACCTGACCGGCATCGCTGACTTCAGTTTCCTTCTGATGCTGTTATTTGTTCATTATCATCATGCAGCAACGATCAAACCATTTTCATTACACGATGAGAGGAGAGTGGCTGATGCTTCCTGTTTGCTACTTACTTGACCTTTGGTTTTTGATGAAGAAAAGCTTCAGCCTCTCCTTGAAGGTGTTTTCATTCACATAAAACTCAACCTGCACCCTGCGGGAAGAGAAACAATCACACCTCAGTTAAAACATGCACAGCCGAGCCTGTGGACCCCATGCATAAACAATCCACCCCACAAACGATGATGCATCTCGAAAAACAACGTTTTTATTTACTGTATGTTGTGCATAAGGATTTAGAAAAAAAAGGTGACAAACTCATAAATTTGCAAGGTGTCCCTCCACCCCCACACAACATATTTGTTTTAGTATGATGTACAATGGTGGTACTTGCTGAACAGTTAGTGCACAAGCTTTGTTAGAAATTGAAATGGGTTACAGAGAAAATCACAACAGGTTAATGATGTCACAACTGTAATAAAGGAAAATGCAGCTGCCCAATATCTCCCTGCTATTTGGACATCTACTGAATACAACATGGCTTATTTACAGTTGCTAGCAGACTTGCTACTTGCAGTCTACCTCTGGAGGTAAGATAAGGCTGTACTTTTGTTTTTGACAGACAACCCCTCTGGTATGGATGCACCGATTGCAGCTTTCTGATCGATCCCCGACCTTTAAAAAGCCTGATGTGTTGATTCCGATTTTGGCAGATATATTTTTCTTCTTTCTCTGAAAGTCACTAAATGTAAAAACAAAAAGTGGGGTGACACATGTAGATGTGACTTTGTGGGAAGATTTGTGGGTCGGTCCACTCAGCAGAGCAAAAGTAGATCTAACTATCTATTCTGATATCTAACTCTTTGCAGAGGTAGATAATATTTCTTTCACATGTAAGCATCAACCAATTCCCAGTCTCCCAAAATTAAGGAAGTCAGGGCAGATTTATTGGTGCACCTCTTCTCCATAGTTCTGCAGCCCAGCTTTAGATGTTGCCAGTGCTTAAAGTTAAGATCTTTTGATCCTGATAGGAAACAGTGGCTCCACTTAGATGACCAACTTGGCAGATGCTCATAAAAGAATTAAAAACCTTCAGTTCATTATCTGTCAGTCACGATTAATGGATTCGGAGCATTACTTCATCTCCAATGGGAGTGTTTATGGCATTTGTACTAATTACATCAACTACTCTGACTATGGGACTGGCACAATACCAATAACATAAAACAAATTGGTTAAAATATTCTAAATTTCTGAGATTAGCAGAAATTAAAATAGGTTTTACAATCCTACCTTCAAAACAAAGAACACACATCATTTCATACAATGAGCTCGTTATGCTTTTTTTTTTTAGAATCTTTTTGTCACTGCAAGAAAAAATATTAGTAACTTTTATGATGCAGTTCAAATATGATAATATTTAAATGTTTAAAAAATGCAACAAGTCCCAGTGTAAGCCTGTGTAACATCTCAGTTTAAACATCCGTGATGTTTAAACATCTCCTCCTTCCTAATAGATGCTAAAGTATAAATATTGATCCATTTTGCCACACAACAGCACTCTAATAACAGTGTACTTACCTTGAAGTACATGTTTAATCTAAGGACATGATGCTTATTGAGTTTAAAGTCAGGTAATGGTTTTAGATTTCTTCACTGAAACATTAGTCCAGCTCAAGCATACATCTCCAAACAAGCTTTAATTACACCAATTTGCCCTGAATAATTAATGCGAGCTTATACAATCCAATTGTTTCACACAAAAGGTATTGGCACTTTCACTCTCTTTGTGATCCAGGCTGGTTTATTTATTCAGGACAAAAATAAATGAGAACAGCAGCCTCGCTCATATTGAGCTCAAACAGAAAAGTTTGAATTAATAATTAAAAATCATCTCTCCGTAAAAACAGCTGCACATCAAGCTTTGAGGACGAAACAGATTCAACTCCACATACTTTATGTATTTTAAGAGACTCAGGTGGGGGGGATCTTGACCAAACAATCACTTGAGGAGGCCTGGAGACGAAGCCAGGGAACCGTGGGCAGGTTAGATGATTGCAGGTAATGAAGCAGCTCTATTGTTCATTTCTTTAAGGCAGGGAGCTTGTTGTCACTAATGAGTACAGAGGGGAAGTAATAATGGCCACAAAGCGGCTTCTTGGAGCCGTCTACATTGTATGAGAAGATGAATACAGGGCAGGAAAAAAAAGGCAGCGAGTTGAGGATCAAGCAACTGGCTAATTATTATGGGAGGAGCCCAGCGTGAGTGTGTGTGTGTGTGCGTGTGTGTGTGTGAATAGAGGATACAAGAAATAATTAGATATGATGCGAGCTCTTCCCCTCCCCCATCTTCCAGATTCATTGCCATAGAGACAACCGACTGCAGGAAATGCCCCTGTCTGTGTTATGCTCTCACTATTAGAAAATTAAAAGAGATAAATGCAGAAAACAACAATTTTTGCCTAGAAACCCCTTCAAACTCCAATTACTATGGATTCTATAAATGCAAACAAATGTATATGATGCATAATGCCAAGCAAGATTCTTATATTAATATTTCTGTCAGCTGAGACGCAGGAAAGGAATTAATGAAGGCAGCAGAGGGTTTGTGTTTACCCAGCAAGCTCACATAAGCATGACACCAATATAAACTAGTTCTGACAGGGTTATTTGGATTACTGCAGTGCACACAGAGAAATGCAATTCACCGGATTTATAGAAACATCATTTGTGTCATAGCTTTTCATTTTCCCCCTATTATTATGAGAGTATAAAGTTAGAACTGTTCTTTTTTAAGTGGCTTCATGCAGTAATTAGTATCTGAGCCGCAGCAGATAGCAGACTGACTCCAGATCAGGGAATCAAGAAGAAATTTTACTGAAGGAGTCACGCTGAAAGCTACAATCAATCAAAAGCCAGATTCACATGGTGCAAAAAACAAAAAAAAGCAAAACAGCTGAAACACTGAGTCCCTTTAAATCAAAACTAAAACCCACATTTAGAACCATAATAAATGGAAAACTGACCAACACATTTGATGTTTATTGATGATCTTGATGATGGAACTCAACAAAATGTAATGTTTGGTTTCTCATTTGGTGACTGTATGTTGATTTTATGATTTTTTATTTTTATATATTCATGTTCTAAAGCACTTCGAAAATATGTTATACAAATAAACTTGATTGATTATGTTTGTTTCAACCTGAGTTTTGGGATCACTAACATTTGATTTAGCATTTTAACAACCAAAGACGAGCTTTGATAAATATTGAGCATTCTTTTATCTTTCTCCCCTCTTCATTTCCATCTGATATCTGTCGATTGCTTGTGACACGATTCTGATGCAGCAGCAAGAAATTATACAGGCCGGCAGCATCTATTGGATCTTGCATCATGCAGTGTGAAGTGAGTTACTAACAAGCTTTTCAGAATGTTTTTCATATATTTGCAGGTTCACACAGACTGGATTCAACAACATTAACTCTAAACTTTTAGAAATATTTTTTCCAAAGTACAGAACTATTCTCAAGCATAATTTTTCTGTCTTTTTGTTCCTGCTCGTTTCTCTCAACCTCAAGTTGGGCGCAGCAGATGGCGGCTCCTACTGAGCCTGGTTCTGCAGGAGAGTTTTTCCATGTTTAAAGGAAAATGTTCGTTTATCTCTACGTGCTTGGTGATGATGAGACATTTCCTTCTTGATAAATTAAGCACTTGGCCGCGCTTTCATTACTTTATGACAAATGCCTTTGACTGTATTGTATAATTATTCAGTTTTGACTATTTAATTGGACCTAAATGTAATTATATAATTAGATTGTATAGATTGTCAGGAAACTAACTGAATTGTATATGTCCACATAATTGTATATAGATTAACCTGTTTGATTTGTAAAGTGTCATGGTATTTGTTATTGTTTGCACCTTATAACTTCTAACTTTAACACATTTGTGTTGAAAATCCAATACTACAAGCTCTGAGGTTGCTAAAAGTTGTTGCAGAACTAGCATAGAAACACTGAAGCTCTTATGTTCAGAAAGTAAAACAAAAACTTTGTCCTGTGAAGACGTTGATGTAAAAAACATTTGAACAACAGTATTTTCTTTAAATGCTGTGAAACGTCTGAGTTTGATCTACTTGGTAAAGGAAGTTATTTATTTCTGAGCCAGTCAATTAGTGCGAGTCCTGCAGTACTACAGCTTCCTGGTTTCACAGACTGACCTCTGCATAACAACCAAGGCACCATCAACACAGAACAAAATGATTTATTTACTAAAAGTAATTGTTTGAATAATTTAAAAAATATTAAAACTGAGTTCATGAAGAGGACCATTGTACAGTAAAATGTGTAACTCTGAGATACTCACTAATTTTTATCACAACATGTGGAAGAAGCGCAAGATCCGTACAATGTTATTGGTGTTTATCTGAGTTTAAGTTAAAGAGTCCTGATTCACAGTTTAGCAAAAAACATTTACTTCAACAACTTTGGTTTACAATTTCTGCAAAAAAAAAAAGAAAAAAAAAAAGAAACTTTCTCTATCAATATCAGACCTGTGATTATCAACAAATTTCAAAACCTGTTTCAGGTTTTCAGGACCTAACTAAAAGGAAACTAGTTGAAATCAAACAGACAGACCCCAGCGTGGGTGTATTTGTTCACATAATAGGCACTAGAACACAGACAATGGCAAAACACCCGCCCAGGCACGGTGCCTTTCATTGTGTTTACAAGTACTGCACTTCTGACTAAGGCAACAAATATCATCAGACGACTAGTCGCAGCTAGAGAACCACAGCAACACCATTTAAGTACTCGCCGTCTTTTCTGCAGCAAATGTAAAATCTGCAAGCCATCACTTGCCATGTAGAGACACCAGACACACTGTCAAACATAAACAGGAGCTGGGTGCACGTTTAAGAAGTCACACAGCATCTGCAGCAGGCTGAAGAAACACCCACTTCACTAAATTATAACAATGCCAAGCATGGGCAAGGATGTTCACACAGAGTCTTAATATATGCATTATAAGACCTTGTGCCTCCATTTTGCAAGTTAATGTCACATTTGGAGCTTCATATTAATTAAAAAAACCCCATAAAAAACACAGATTAAAGAAATTTATGAGGGTAAAGAGCTGTACCAGTTCTAA